GATTGCTATCAGTTTTTACAATTTATAGAGTTATAAAGTAGCTTCCATAGAGTCAAATCAGATAATCCAGTAGAGTTTACTCTCTATACTGCATGGTTTTCCACTAAAGCACAGTGTTTTTTTGTATTGTTTTGTTTCCCTTATAGTACTCTATCCCTAAAGGCACCATACCATCAGTGACTCCCTACTATCAACAGAAAGAAGTCCAAATTCATTAGGTAGACACTCACATTTTAGCTTCAGCCTCTTTCAGTGTTTTCTGTTATGCAGTCCAGCACCCTTAAGCCCTACATTATTCAGCCTTTATTCCCAAATTCTAATCTTTCAAGTCCCTTTTCTTGTGTATTGACCATCTGCTGTAATCGACATTAGTTCTCAAACTTGACAGAACATCAGAATTACCTGGAGAGCTGATTAAAACACAGATTTCTGGGTTCCACCCATCCTTTCATCCAGCAGAGCTAAGGTTGAGCCTGAGAATTTGCATTTCTTAAAAGCCTGGGTGGCTCGATCAATAGTTAAGCTTCTGACTAGATTTCTGCTCAGGTCAGGATCTCAAGGTCCTGGGATGGAGCCCCACCTCAGGTTCTGCACTCAGTGGGGAGGCTGCTTGTCCTTCTCTCTCCCTTTCCCTCTGCCCTTCTCCCTGCTCTCTCTCTCAAATAAATAAAATAAAATCTTAAAAAAAAAAAATCCCAGATGATGCTGATGCTACTGATCTAAAGACTCTTTGAGAACTACCTGCTCAGAGGAACTGTGTAAAAAACTATAGATCAGATTAATGAGACATAGACCCAGCCCATTAGGAGGAATTCACAATCTAATGGAAGTGTCAAAAGCCTGGCTCCCCAAAATATCACTAAAACCACCTTTTAGTAAGACAAAGCTGAGTTAGTACTGAGAAAAGGAGAATACCACCTCAACAGAGCCTTAGTAGGGCTTAGAAGGTGGTTTGTCAGGGGAAGGCAGGCAGAAATAGTTGGTATATTTGAGATTTTCAAGTTTAAGGCATGTCTTTCAATGGTTAGGATTGAGTAATGATCATGATATATATGATAATTTATGATATGATGTTTTAGTATTGATAGAATAAGATGAGTATTTGAGGCAAGGGGTTCAAAGAGTTCTGATGTGTGAATTTGTTGGCTTTTTCTGTTAATCTTGATGTGTCATTCGGGATGTTTCTGGAATACACCAGATGACAGTAGTGTAGTAAGGTCATATTAATGTAGACGGTCAGGTGTACTAATAGTTTCAGAGACAGAGAAACAAATAAAACAGAAATATAAACAAATAATTAGTGTGGTAAGATAAGTATAATTTAGTCACAGAGCCCTTTGGGAGAAAATACACAGAATCTTACAACCTCCCTGCAATCTGCCACTGCCAGGAATTCTAAGATCTTTTGAGTGTCCTACTTTGGTTTATCTTTGGTAAATCGAAGAAAAAGCATTATGTTTACAGAGGCAATGTTTCTCCTTGTTTCTTTTCTTTCTCTCTTTATACTATTAACATCCCCAGGCCAGACATGCATATTTACACAAATGTATTTTACAAACACTCAATATCAAGTTTTGGATGAGTGCAAAGAATTCATATTTATTAAGGATCAACTATATGATGCATGCAATGCAAGTGTGTGTGTACATATATTTCAATTAGCTGTATATTAAATTTTTGTAGTAATTATCTTTATCCCCTTGCTCATGCAGATGATTCTTATTGGGACCTTAAGGCTATATAGACCCCTGGATATGGCTCTTTTCTATATAATTTAGAACTCATGGTCTCTTCTTTTTGGGAGAGATAAGTAGTGAGCGTGATGATTTTCAAGCACAATAGTCCTCTATTTAAGAATAGTAGAAATGAGCATATATTTTTCAAAGCTTGAGTAACAAGTGATTTTTGCTAAGTAACTTAAGCTCTAACCTTGGGTGGCATGAAACTGACATCTGTTACCTTGCAAATCAGTTTTTAGAAATACCCTAAAGTGAGTATAATAAAGTTACATCTGAGAAAAACAAATTAAATCTTTTGAAATTAAAATTCTGGCACATGATTTAAAGTTAAAGCTCAAATTCCTGAAGAAGTCCTTAAAACTCTTTGTACCAAATACATCCTGTGTTTGATTATAATACTTGAAAGAATATCCAACATGCTTTTCAACAGGTTCCAAAATCAAACAAGAAAACATGTATCTTATAAAGTACATTTACCTAGATTTATTCATCACAAGCTAATATGCATGTTTTTTTTAAAGATTTTATTTATTTATCTGACAGAGAGAGAGAGAGCTCAAGCGGGGGGAGCGGCAGGCAGAGGGAGAGGGAGAAGGAGGCTCCCTGTTGAGCAGGGAGCCCGATGCGGGGCTCGATCCCAGGACCCCAGAATCATGACCTGAGCTGAAGGCAGCTGCTTAACCGACTGAGCCACTAATATGCTTGTTTTATAAAATCATTTATAAATCCTTTATAAAATTCATTTCAGTATTCTTTGACTAAAGTTTTGAGAAAACATCTGCAAGGTAGTGCAACTTTAGAAGTTATCAAAAGCTTGCCATCATGCTAATGGCATTCACAACATACAAATCTGCCAGCTAAAGAAGCATCGTCCCATTAGCAATAAACCATTTGGCATGAAGCTATCTTCTCCCTCTGCTATGTGGGCTTTTATCACACCTTTCTTTCAGTCCCATATCTTCTCTGTACTGAGATGAAGAGGCACCAGGAGTAGTAGATGCGTGATAATCTCCAGGCACAACTTACTAAAGTGCAAATGCAAAAGAATATTACACATTATTGTAGCTAGACACAGGATGTAATAAGGCTTTCTGGAGCACCTGGGTGGCTCAGTCAGTTAAGCATCTGACTCTTGGGTTTCAGCTCAGGTCATGATCTCATGGGTCATATGGGGCTCCCCACTCAGTGGGGGGTCTGCTTGAAGAGTCTCTCCCTCTGCCCCTCCCCCATGTGCTCATGCACGGAGGGTTACCAATGGGATGCTCTTATGGGCCAGGCCTGGAAGTAGCACATATGACTTTTGCATATCTCCCCCCCTCTAAAATAAATAAATCTGAAAGAAAGAAAGAAAGAGAGGAAGGCGTTCTGAAGACAGACTATAAAAGTTGCTAGAGGCATGATGCTGTTATGGGGTTACTTAATCTTTCCCAACATCCACTAGATCTGGGCTTCTCAGCCTGGGCACTAGTGACATTTGAAGCTGGATGACTTGAGCATTTTAAGAGCTTAAACAGCATCCTTGGCCTTAACCTACTAGATGCCAGTAGCACACCCTCAGTTTGATAACCAAAAATATCCCCAGACATTGCTAAATACTCCCTGCAGGTAGAGTTGGCAGCTTTAATAAGTGAAAAGAGAGGATGCCCAGGTAAAATTGAATTTCTGATAAACAGCAAGTAACTTTTTCATTAAGTATGTCCTGTGCAACAGTTGGTACAGACTTGTACTAAAAAACTTATTCGTCATTTTTCTGAAATTCAAATTTAACTGAGAGTCCTATATTTTAATCTAGAAAGTTTTGGGGGAGGCAAAATTGCCCATGACTGAAAACCCCGGTGCTGGAGTATCACTAAGTTAAAAGCAAACACCCAAGAGACTCTTGACTGATAGTGCTGCTTTCCTTAACCTCTCAGACCCCATAACCTTGTTTGCAAAGAGGGGGTTCATTAACTTCCCTTACAGAGTGGACATGAGGTATAAAGAAAATAATGTATGAAAAAACTCTTAGTACAGTCCCTGGCATAGTAAACAATTGATATATGTTCATCACTGACAATCCCTCACAAGATGGTGTCATAGTATTTACTGATGTCTGGACTGAATTTTCACTAACAGTAAAGACTGTATTACAGAAACAACAGGAACCCTGCAAGTGATTCTCAATCCTGACTGCACATTGAATTCACCTGGGGAGTGTCCTTCCCTGATGTCTGTGACCTACCTGTGAGAAATTTGGATTTCATTGATCTAGAGTGTGGCCTGGCATTGGGATTTTCAAAAGCTCCACAGGAGTCCTAAAATGTGGAGCCAAGGCTGAGAACCACTCTTTGAGAGAAAAGTATTAGAAATTGGTAGTCCTTAACAAGGAAGAGAGGAAATAAGCTAAACTTAATTATATCTGATTCTTGGGTTGTAGAAAATTGGGTTAGGATCAGATTTAGAGAAAAGACAGACATGATTTCAGTCATTCAACAAATATATCTGTGTGCCTACTATGTGCCAGGCCATGTTTTAAGCAGTAAAGGGAGTCCCTGTCCTTGTTCAATGATAGTAGGGAGGGACAGATAATAAACAAATAAGACATTTTAATCTAATTTCAAAGACTAGGACTAAGGCCTTCATGAGAGACGGTGGCATTCCAAAAAAAAAAAAAAAAAAAAAACAAAGTCATGAATAATCTTAATGGGAAAGCAAAATAGGGAGGAAGCAGCATGACTTAACAAGAAGAGAATCTCTGAGTTTAGCTCTTAGATGAGATGAAAGCACGAAGGACATTTTACCAAGGACAAGTGAAAGGATGGCATAAAACTGTAAAAATAGTGTCAGAAAGGCCAAAACAGAGTGAGGTTTTAGAAAAGTGAGGTTTAGAAACAGTAAAGCAAGAAGGGCCATTCTGTTGAAAAGGGAAGTCCTAGACTAAAAGAGAACAAGAAGGAAATGTGAGGCTCTTTTTGAGGAAGATGTGCTCTAACAGAAAGGCAGAACAAGCGTAATGCCTATTTTGCTTTATTTTTCGCAAGAAGAATGAACTACCAGAATACAAAACAAAAACAGTGAAACGGACATGTTTAGGCTAAGGTAGGTGAGAATACAGTGAAAGGCCACCCACATCCACTTTACATGAATTGTAACCTCTTGGTCCAGAAAACTGAGTTAGGATATTTTCTTGTGATATTTTGGTAGTAATGGTAAGTGTATTTTTTGACAATTACATTCTCTTTCATAACAAACAGCAAAATACATATATAATGGTTTAAATACCATAGAAATTTATTTCACGTTCAAGTCCGAAATGTTCTTGAGTGGTGTGTGTGGCTCCCCTCTAAGGATGGATTCAGGGACCCAGGTTCTTTCTAGCTGTGGCTTTGCCATCTTTAATGAATTCAGGTCTCCATGCTCATCTGTTTCCAGGCTATGAAAAGGAAAAGACCACGGAGGGTTACCAATGGGATGCTCTTATGGGCCAGGCCTGGAATTAGCACATATGACTTTTGCAAGCCTTCCACTGGCTAGAACTTTGTCAGTTGGCCACCCCTGATCAAAAAGAAAGCTGGGAAATGTAGTGTGCCCAGGAAGAACAGTAATCGGGTTTGATGACAGCTAACCAGTCTCTACGCAGATAACAGGAGATCTGCCAGAAAAATGTAGCTAGAAAAATAATTCAAATTTCAAAACATGGGGTTGAAATGGAGTTGAAGGATATAGAAACAACATAGGTTTGAAACCACTTGGGAGGGGGAAAAAGAGGGGGTCTGTACCTCATCTTCTTCTGCATAGTAGAAGAAATGCACAACATTTTTGATAAATGAGAACTGACTGATCGTATCATTTAGTGGGTTCATACTTCTTCAGATAACTGAGTCCAGGGAATGGTAATCACTGTCAACCATGAAGGTGGTCTCTTGTGGTGTGCCTTGGGCCTCGCCTTCCCCGTGTCTCATTAAACATTTCTGTGAACAGCTTGAACGGAGACAAATCTATGGCTGACTCAGTGAAAGAGATATTGAATGGTAACTGTGGATCCAAGAATCAAGAGTAGTTTCAAAAGGATCTCAGTAATCTAGAACCTAGGTCAACAGAATTTTTCTGAACATAGCAAGGGAATAAATATTTTAGGCTTTTGGGCCCTAAGGTTTCTGTCACAACTAGTCACTGCTGCTGCTGTAGCCCCCAAAGCAGCCACAGACAATACAGAAGTGAACCGGTGTGCCTATGTTCCAATAAAACCACATTTACAAACACAGGCTGAGGTTGAGGGGGAGGAGTTCTGATCCACAAGGTTTCTCAGGCATCCAGGTTGTTGCAGATGGCGTCCCCATCTAGTAGCAGTACGGTCTGGAGCAGGTAGTATCCTTTGTGGCTGAAACAGAGGCAGAGGCATCGGAGTGGGAAACATTGTCTGGATCTTAAACAGAGGCCATTATTTACACACATGAGTGTAAAACACATATATCACTTCTGCTCAGTATTTGCCAAAACTAGTCTTATGTATGGCCTTATTTCAGAAAGTAGTGTGATTCCCATGAACTAAATATGCAGAAGCACCCGGAAGAGCTACAAAGGAGCAAATCTCCAACATGGCTCATAATTGGAAAATGTAGGCTCCTGAGCTCCACCTTATAGCCCGGGAATCAGGATCTTTGGGATAGAGTTGGGAAATACTCATCTTGAAAAAGCTTTCACAGCCGATTCTCATTATCAACAGGAAGCTGCTGCTGTGAACAAGGAGTGTTTATTTAAAGTAGAGGAAAAGCAACAATTAGATCTGTGGATTTAAGATTACCCTGGCTGCAAGTGTTGGATTCAAGAGGGGAGAAACTAGAAGCTGGGATTTCATGTCACAGAACATACAGGGTTTAATGAGCAAACATAAATACATGTGCTTATATATCACGCAATGTGTTGGCAGGACCAGCTCAATCTGAGAGCCTAACACCATTGTTACAAAATTTCTCTTTATATTTTAGGAATCTCCTCCCACTCCTTCCTTGACTCTCAGAAAACTAGTAAGATAGGCTCAAAGAGGCCTTGTCAACTCATTCAATAAATGTTTTGTATGCCACTGCTGCTGATGCTGTTGGTTGAATAGAGCTAGCTCAGCACCCAGAGGAGTCCCTGGATAGGGACAGGGGAGTGGGATGCGTGGGTGTGGCCTGCTTCTCTCTTGAGAGGTGGCTGGATGTGGTCAAACTTTCCTTCCTGCCTGTTAGGACAACACAGAATATGGTTATATTGCTGTCTCTGCTGCTTTCTGAGAAAATTGAGATTTAAGAGATCTGCAATGGGAGAAAATAACCAGTGCATGATTCTTTTGAAAATTAAACCTATCCAGTTAGTGCTGATCATTTAAAGATTGACCATCCAAGTTTGGGTTTCTCTTCCTATATGCTGCCTGAATTTTAGCTTCTGTCCCAAATGCTATTTGCGATGGGGACGTGGGGAGTCAGGGAATCTCTGTACACTTTGGGAAGAGGAGTAGGTTCTCTTCCTTTCAAATATTATGCTCGGTACTTATCAGTTGTTCATGTACCATGGCTTGAAATAAGTGGAATATTGATAAGAACTTGTCATTGCTGCTGAGCACTTTCTTTAAGAGAGATGGATGAACTTGTAGTCAGGTTCTCTTTTTAATGGCATGCTTTGTTTTTTCTTGCATTGATAGAGCCCAGGGTTCAGGTCCCCCCCCACCAACAGGAAAAAAACAAAAAACAAAAACCTAATTAGCAGCTCTAAGTTGAAGCTAGAAATTGGCATCTTGGTGTAAAAGTAATAACTAACAACAGGGTTAGGTTTCTCCCAAATTATTTTGCTCTTTCTTTTCATCTTTGCCTTTACGTTTTTTAAATACATTAAAAAAATACAAAGAGAGGAAAATTATTTCTAATACATTCTAACCTAAAATCACTCTAAAACCATAACTAAATATAACTTTAAAATATTTAATATTAATACTAAAATTAATATATTAAAATAAAGCATTTAATATACCACACATCCAAACATTTCACTTATCAGCTTTTTTAGGTTAAGAACGTGAAACATCAAAATTCTATTCAATAAACACAAATAAGAAGTTGCAACAACATATAAAGACCAATTATAGAACTAAGAGAAAAGTGGAACAAGGCTGGAGAGGAAGAATCCAAAAAGATAGAGACTAAGAGTAGACTACTTCAAGGCTATGCATGTAGTCCCATCTGTAGAAATAAATACTGTACTGCAACCCCACACAGAGTACAGACAGAAAAAGAAGTCTGCAGTGGAAAGGGATTGCAAATATTTGCTTTCATACCATAACACTTCTCTATGGAGAATTTGATTGACTATTGATCCTAAAGACTTTTTTTTTTTTTAAGATTTTATTTATTTATTTGAGAGAGAGAGAATGAGAGAGAACATGAGAGGGAGGAGTGTCAGAGGGAGAAGCAGACTCCCTGCCGAGCAGGGAGCCGGATGCGGGACTCGATCCTGTGACTCCAGGATCATGACCTGAGCCGAAGGCAGCCGCTCAACCAACTGAGCCACCCAGGCGCCCGATCCTAAAGACTTTTAAAGCCTTGTTAAGTTTTCACAACTTTGGATATAAATGGTAATATCTCTTGGCACTTGTTCAATGAGCTAAGTGAAACTGATCCAGAGTCAGAAGCTGCCGCATTCCAGGTATGGAGTATTTTGAGCTGTAATTACATAATTCTAATCTTTTTTTTAAAAAAGATTTTATTTATTTATTTGACAGAGAGAGAGACAGCGAGAGAGGGAACACAAGCAGGGGGAGTGGGAGAGGGAGAAGCAGGCTTCCTGCCGAGCAGGGAGCCCGATGCGGGGCTTGATCCCAGGACCCTGGGATCACGACCTGAGCCGAAGGCAGAGGCTCAATGACTGAGCCACCCAGGCGCCCCTACATAATTCTAATCTTTGGTAGGATATAAAAAAGGTCCTCAAATAGCTATAAGGCAAGTTGATGTGAGTTATCGTGACTTAAGTTTCACTTACAATTCTCAATGATGCTATTCCTAGTTCCTTGCTTGATTTGATTATCTACATGTTTGTTGTTTCTGACAAGTGTAGTAGTTAACACTTTTTAGACAGTTTTCAAATTGAGCAAAAGTTACTTGGTTTTTCATAGGGTTTGTAATGATTATATCCAGGATTGGCATCTACTAGAGGGGAATTTGTTTTTAATCAATATTAAGTTCTTTCTCATTCTGTCAGATTGAATCTTTTCTATATACTGTTCAATGTTTTGATCACGGTTGTATCCAAACAATGACCTATACTCTTCCTCTTTGTGGTAATTTTGACACAGGTGACAGTCTCATAAGGTAAGTTTGAATGCCAGTGTAACCCTTTTAATGGAGAAAGAAGCAGTAAGACTTTGAATACAGAAAGCGTTAACATCAAGGGTAACCAGTTTGGTTATCTATCAAGTTAGGCTTTAGGTTTACTAACAGATGCAGATATACTAAGTGAAAAATAGATTCATTCCTTTGTTTCTTAACATCTAAAACCTCTTGGCTTAGTGGCAGTCCACTTTATCCATTCTATCAGTGATTCTGCTTATCAAATCAGAAATTTGAGTGCTGACATTTCTATCCCATAAAATAGTTGCCAGTTAGATATTACATGATTTCCATGAATTGACAAACTTGTCCTTGAGAAATGAAGGCAAGTTAAAGACTTTCCCAAGCAAATAAAATCTGAGGGAGTTCATCACCACTATATCTGCCCTAAAAAAATGCTAAAAGGAGTTCTTCAAGCTGAAATGAAAGGATGTTAACTGGTAACATAGAAACATATGAAAATATAAAACACAGTGGTAAAGATAAGTATAAAGTGAAATTCAGAATACTCTAAGACTGTAACATGGTGGTGTGTTAATCACTTATCCCCAGTAAAAAGGTTAAAGGACAAAAGTATTACAAATAAGTATGGCTATAATAATTTGTTAATGGATACACAATACAGAGGTAAATTGAAAAATCAAAAACAAATGGAGGAGGGGTAAAAGTGTAGAGTCTTTTTTTTTTTTTTTAAGATTTTATTTATTTGACAGAGAGAGAGCGCACACAAGCAGGGGGAGCAGCAGAGGGAGAGGGCAAAGCAGGCTCCCCACTGAATAGGGAGCCCTGACATGGGGCTTGATCCCAGGACCTTGCGATCATGACCTGAGCCGAAGGCAGACACTTAACCAACTGAGCCATCAGGTGCCCCAAGAGTCTTTACATGCTATTGAAGTTAAGTTATCAGCTTAAAATAATCTGTTATGTTTTATGTGAGACTCATGGTAACCACAAAGCAAAAACCTATAGTAGATACTCATAAGATAAAAAGAAGGAAATAAAAGCATACCACTATGGAAATCCATCAATTTACAAAGGAAGACCGCAAAAGAGGACAAAAGGAGCAAAGGAACTAAATAACAGTCAGAAAACAATAATATAGCATCAGTAAACCCTTACTGAAAGTCTTTACCTGTTAATATAAATGTAAATGTATTAAATTCTCTAATCAAAAGGCATAGAGTGGCTGAATGGACTAAAAAAAAAACAATAAGATCCAACTATATGCTTCCCACAGAGACTCACATCAGCTTCAGGGACCACACAGACTAAAAGTGAAGAGATGGAAAAGGATATTCTGTGCAAATGGAAAGCAAAAGAGAGCAAGAGTAGCTATACTTAAAGTAGACAAAATAGAATTTAAGTCAAAAACCATAATGAGAGACAAAGAAGGTTGTTATAAAATGACAAAGGTGTCAATTCATTAAGAAAATATAATAATCATTAAAAATAGATACACCTATATTGGAGCATCTAAATATATATTTAAAAATACTAACAGATGTGAAGGGAGAAATAGGTAAAATACAGTAATAATAAGGGATTTTAATATCCCACATTCAACAATGGATGGATCAGCCAAGCAGAAAATCAATTAGGAAACATTGGTTTTAAACTACACTTTAGACCAAATGGACCTAACAAACATATACACAACATTCTATCCAATAGCAGCAGAATACACATTCTTCTCAAGTGCACATTGAACAGTCTCCAGAACAGATCATACGTTAGGTCACAAACAAGTCTCAGCAAATTTAAAAGGGTTGAAATCATGCAAAATATCTTTCCCAACCACAATGGTATGAAACTAGAAATCATTAACAGTAAGAAAACTGGAAAAAATTCATAGTTCATAAATATTTGTAAATTGAACAACACACTTTTGAACAACCAATGAGCCAAAGGAGAAATCAAAACGTATCATGAAACAAATGAAAATGAAAACACAACATACCCAAACTATTAGAAACAGCAAAATCAGTACTAAGAGGGAATTTTGTAGAAAAATTTAAGAAAA